TTGGGTCAACGCAAGCCCATGCTCCGCGCATGGTGCGCGGAAGATCAGTAGTGGGAGTGGCCTGATGGAGGAAGGATACTTAAGTCCTCATGAAATCAACATTTTTGTAAACGTTTTATGGATTTTAGTCTGCCTTGAGGTTGTCTATAAGCTCTAAAAGAAATGCAGTGGTGTCTCAGGGGTTAAACGCTCTGGGTTTCTGATCAGAAGGTCAGGAGTTCAAGCCCCAGCACTGCCAAGTTACCACTGTTGGGCCCTTGGGTAAGGCCCTTAACCCTCAATTGCTCAGTTGTATAAAATTTCAATTGTACAGTCTCTCTCTACTGCCAGTAGGGATAAACAAGTTTGATGACACCATTCTGCACTTCAGCTTCTCATCAGATGTTCTGTCCAATCAAATGCTCTCTAGAACCTGAAGTTGCCGTTGTTGAGCGAGAGAAATCATATTAGCTAGCCTGGGTCGTGTCTTTAGCTGTTCGAATGCGCACGGTTCATTCAGTTTTCCTTTAAGTTGTTTAAGAAGGAAATGGCTTGAATGACCACCTGAGCCCTCATTCAAACCGTCACCCTCAGTTTTTGGTTTGATTTGATATAACCCGACTCCATGGGTAAAAGATTCTGAGAGGTCCTCTGGAACAGGTGAAGGCGGTGGAGAAAAATCCATCACAAGTCAATCCAACGCATCGTTACTGCTCGGGCTCGCGTCCATGGTACTCTGTAAAGTACGGCTTAGCCCGGGCTGTGAGGTAAGCCAAACACTGTTGGCTATTTAAAAAGCAGGAGGAGCCACTCGATATGTCCAGCCCTGACTTCCTGTTGCAGTGGAAATTACATCAACACGTTGAAGGAGCTGTTTGAAAGGAGCCGAGTTTCTGTTTTGAATAGGTATCTCTGGCTTGCCATGCAGACACGGCAGCAGATTTTAGGACAGAATTCTATTGCTGTGTGGACTTAAGTAGAAGATGTGCATGCGTAGTGTAATACTCCAAGCTTGTCATTTAAAAGAATGAATTATGCAAAATATATATTTGGAGGGAGAGATGGAGACCTTGGGTGAAGGAGGTGCATGGAAAACAAACACAGTGTGAGACAAATCTGAGTGTAATATTGCATCAGATCATCAAATATGACGTGCAAAACAAAATACCCCTTTTTTCTTGTGCTTTGCTTCTTGTATTCATTCTCCATGCTACAGTGAAACAACTTTATATTTGGACTATGTCCCTGATGAAAAAAAAACCTTATAGAAACAATAACAAAAATTCTAATGGTTTCCACTACAATTACCATTACAACCCATCAGCTAACCATTTCAATCATAAACATTATCCACTAGACATAACATGCCACCGAAGGCAACACGTGACCAGTAGAGACCCACAGAGACCATTACAGTTTCCATTAAAACCAATACAATTCCCATTATAACAATTAAAACCCAGTACAATCGTTATTACGGTTTCTATTGTTCTTTTTCAGCATGGTAACACTGCCCCCTAGTGTACACCTTCAGGCACATAGAGAGCAGCTGCTATGCGTGAACACACCTAACTGACTCTCACGCTCTACTGCAGCGCGTGTGAACCGGTTAAAAATGCAAACATTTTCTTGCCTTCTATTGGCAATTGAATAAGTCCAGCTTACAGTCTTTACAGGGCGTTCATTTTGTATGGCTTTATGAGCGAGTGTGTGAGCAATTAGCGCACTTTCGCTCCCGCTCGCGGACACACTCGGCCTCTCTCGCGCACTTTCGGACACACTCGGTCTCTCTCGCGCACTTTCGGACACACTCGTCCTCTCTCGCGCACTTTCGGACACACTCGGCCTCTCTCGCGCACTTTCGGACACACTCGGCCTCTCTCGCGCACTTTCGGACACACTCGGCCTCTCTCGCGCACTTTCGGACACACTCGTCCTCTCTCGCGCACTTTTGGACACACTCGGCCTCTCTCGCGCACTTTCGGACACACTCGGCCTCTCTCGCGCACTTTTGGACACACTCGGCCTCTCTCGCGCACTTTCGGACACACTCGTCCTCTCTCGCGCACTTTCGGACACACTCGGCCTCTCTCGCGCACTTTCGGACACACTCGGCCTCTCTCGCGCAGACACTCGGTCTGTCTCGCGCTCTTTCTCCTGTCTTTCTCTCATGCAGTTTGAGTTGAATCTGGGGAAACCCCTTGAAGCATTGGTTGTGTTGAACTATTCCAGTTGCTTTTGTTTGATTTGTTCATCGCAAGCAGCTGAAAGTCTGTACATTTTGCCAATAAACCTGATTTGCAACTGTATAAACAATCTTTATCTCACCAGCTTCTCCCTTCTCTAGCTCTTGAAGTGAATAAGGCAAAGAAAATGCCACCTGCCGTCTTACCAGAAACCAGAAAGTGTGAACTCTTCTGTCCTGAAGACTTTCCTACAACAGAAAACTTGAAAAAATGTAACAGTTAGAGCTTTACCTTTGACTGTTACAGAAACACTGACACTGGAGACTCCTTCCAAAAATGCTTAAAACAAGTATCTCACAGAAAACGTCGCCATATCAACAGTTAAACTTTTTTTTTTATCTGTTTGTGTGGATCGTCGTTTGTACAAGTCACCGTGTACATACACACTCTAGAAACTGTATTGTATGAGCACAAGTGCATTAATATAAGCCTCGCAGCTGTCATTGCTACTGTTATCTAAAATGACTCAATCGAATACAACTTTACTGTGAGATAATCCATATTAAGCAAAAGCAGCATGTAGAGCTCCTTCACCAAAGTTATGTCAAGTTAAATAGTCTTATCGTAAAGAAATAGTAGGACATATGTCAAAGAAACTAATTAAGATTTCATTGAGATGAATTTACGCTAGAACAGCGGTCCCCAACCTTTTTTGCACCACGGACCGGTTTAAGATCAGACAGTATTTTCACGGACCGGCCTTCAAGGTGTGGCGGAGAAGCACAACAAAGTAAAATGATACGACCGGCATAAAAGCTGGGGTATTTTCAAAAGAAAAAAAAATTATATATATATATATATATTATAATAAACGTGAATCCAATGTGAAATCGCAACTTTATTAGCAGCGTCCTGGCAACATCACGCCAACAACATAACATGAGCAACATCCGCTCTGCCCCCTAACGCTTAACATAGCACGTGACTGAGTAATGGATCACGTGACCGAGACAGACGTCTTGACATGCATCAAGAGTGAGTCATAGACGGATGTAACGGAGAGAATCCGGTCATTTTTCAAAATAAAACATCGTTCAGTCTCAGATAATAAATAAAACGGAAATAATGTAAGTTATTTATTCTTTCTGTGCGGCCCGGTACCAAAAGGTCCCTGGGGGTCGGGGACCCCTGCTCTAGAATATTTAAATATTCTTGTTTACATTGATTTTATTTATGCAACATTTTAATTGTAACCACAGTATATCTATTTATAATATTAAAGTGCACCTATTATGGTTTTTTCACACATTGCCTTTCATGGAGTGTGTTATAGAGCTGTTTGTGAATGTAAAAAGTCTGCAAAGTTTCAAAAATCAAAGCGCAGACTTACTGACTCCCAAAACGAGGAACCGATTCCGAACAGCTGAATCGAGTCGTTAGTGATTCCAGAATTTACTTCCTGTACTAACCTACGTAGGTTTGTAACAAAAAGCCCCGCCTCTGGTCTTCATTTTTTTTTAAGGTAGTGGGCGTTTCCTTTTGAAACACGCTGACAGCGGTAGACCAATCATAACAGACTAGGACATCTGACCAATCAGAGCAGAGTATGCTCTCTGAAAGGAAGAGTTTCGAATGAATCCTTTAGATCGGATTTATCGAGTCGTTAGTGACACTGGGGGAAAAGGTGATGTTGCAGTTTAAATTATGAGCACATTAAAATGTTTTTTGTTTTTTTTGTTTTTTTTGTTTTTACCTTGGATGCATTTAAATCTATTGTATGAGACCTCTAAAACAAAATTAGGCGCGTTTCAAAACCATAATAGGTGCGCTTTAAGATTTTTAAAGGCTTTCTTACAAACCTGGCAACACGGCCATCCATGCTCCCTTGTTTATAGCGCTCCTGCTGGAGTCGCGCACAGGCAACCGACCAATCAGATTCGAGATTTTAACGCCTGTCAACCAATAGGATCAACGCTGGGGAATCAATTCCTGCAATCACGTGCGGTTGAGTCACCGGCGTTGAAACGGAACTGTTTTACCAGCGGAGTGGAGAACCCGGACAAAGGGCAGTTTATTTTAATTACAGAGTGGAAATAAGTTAATGTTAGACATAGTTATCATTTAGTATCGTATTTTAGAGCTAAAAGAGATGAAAAAGGTGAAAAAACGCCACCCCCTGAACGGGAGCAGAACAGCACCTGGCAGACATGAAGGTGAGCAGGATGTGTGGGTTTAACATGATTTATAATATTCTAATATTGAATATTAGATTAAGGTTGAGTGATGAAATTCAGTCTGATCATGGGAGTTATGTAACCATGGAGGAGCTCTTGACGTGTCCAGCTACGTGGACGCGCGCACACACACACACACACACACACACACACACACAAATCTTTTGTCCATAAACAGACACCATTACAATGATCAGACTCTGAGATGATTTGCACAGTGTTTACATATAAATGGTCCCCTGTGAAAGATTTGGCTGTGTGCCACGGTGCCAAAACTTTCAAGACTTGTTGCATTTCATACCATGAAGACATAGAACTATGGATTTGAACCACTGGCACCCAAAAAATAATTGTCCAGGAGAACGTTACGTAACGAATAATACACTTGGGGGGTAGTGCTGTTATAGGAAAACGATCAATATCGTTTATATCAATACCCATGAGGTGGGGAACACTCTGGAGGGCACAATCACATACACATTCACACACCCAATCATACACTACGGACACTTTGGACACGCCAATCAGACTACCATGCATGTCTTTGGACTTGCGGAGGAAACCCCCGCAGCACGGGGAGAACGTGCACACACAGGGCCACGGTCCACGGTGGGAATCGAACCCTCGACACTGGAGGTGTGAGGCGAACGTGCTGACCACTAAACCATCGTGCGCCCTTGAAGTTAATAAGACAAAATTTTTTTAATTAAAAACACAGCTTGTCATGTTCTCAAGAAATTGCAAAACTGAAGACTTTCCAGCGTCAGAAGGGTTGAAGTTACGGTTTTGTCTCCGACCGGCATTGAAGACTCCTTCCGTAAACAATAAATAAGAGTTTCCTCAAAGAAACCGGTACCATTTTTAATTGAGATGTTTTAAATCCGTTTATCTGGCATGTCTCCCACATGATATAATAGAAGCAGTAACTTATTACCACGACTTTGTTAATATCCATAAACCTGTGATTTGCCTTGCAACCGGAACTACTTTCAGAGCTGCAGGTATAGTAGGTAACTGTCCACCACCTTCTGACCAATCAGAGTTGAGGATTCGACAGTGCCATGCTCATCATAAAATCTCTTTTTCACTATTTAAAAAAATAAATCAATCAATATTGGCAAAATTCATTATTTGTGTTCGGTACGCACCGATGTGGTAACGAGCTTCAGTATCAGGGCTGATATTAGATCATATTCGATGTGTTTTGAATCAGTCCAGCGACATACTGAATGCTCGGATGTGTGTGATGTACAGTGCTGTGAGTTACTAATTCCCCAAATCTACGTATGAAACCGCATTCCTAACGGGGTTCTGCTGGACTAGACACGACCAGGCCTGATTACTGCAAACCCAGTTCAATCACATCAGCACTTAAATCGAACTTTTTCAACAGCATGAAGTTGGTTAAAAGGTCTGATCTAGCAAGACATTATGGCAAAGTTGAAAGAAATCCCAGAAATGATGAGGAAGAAGGTGATTGGAATTAGGGATGTCACGATACCGAAAATCTACTAGTCGGTACCGATTCCGCCAAAAGTGCACAATACTCGATACCAAAGTCGATACCACGGTGTGGTATAAAAATAAAATGTAAAAACTCCTGGAGGACATCCTCCTCTGGCTGATACTGGCAAAAACTGAGCGAGAGAGAGGCGCTACAAGTGCTAAAGTGCACTCCTAAACACACACACACACACACATACACCTTATACTCTGAACGCATACATTAGTTTAAAGATTTATTAATACCGTGAACATGTGAATAATCATTAGTGACATTAGGCTACGTTTAGCTGACAGGACACGGGCTGAATGGCGATGCATGGTGGAACATTCGGAGGTAGTTTATAACATTGCAATGCGTTAGAGTCGTTAACAAATACCAGTCTATCGCTAACATTACATGGACATTACGTTACGTTAGCTGGTTCCACGGCCACAATGCAGCTGCCTCAAACAAACATAATACAGCACCGGTGCTTCGCCAAATTCCAGGTGTTTCCTCGCTTTGTTTGAAATGAACGATGGCATCGGTGCACACCGGCTTCACAGCATCGATTATACGCTTGCTGTCGTCCGCCTCGAATGCGAAGTATTTCCGTATTTGACTCTTACCACCTTTCCTCTCAACGAGTCGGGGCGGAGCCAAACTTTTCACCATCTTCTGTAGTAGTGCTTGTAGGCGTCCGACTAAAACACTTGTGCGTATTTGCTGCCCCCTTCAGTTCCGGAAGAATTGCAACCTTCGCTACTGCGGAAAAACAAGTACCGTCACGTTTAACAGTGTTGGTACTGAAGTATCGGTTCTCGTGACATCCCTACATAAGATATATAGATATATGTTTCCCAAAAGATAATAAATAATAATAACAATTTACATCAATTTGCAAAAATGCACTTGCCCCTAGTTCCTAGTCTAGTTAGTTTCACAACATGTTTCCACATGGCCACGATTTGGGGACAAGGCTCATGAGCCAAGCCAAAATACACAAACATTACTCGTGCAAAAGAAAAGTTCAAGCTCTGTCCAGTTCTATTAGATGTAACCTTTAGCCATTCAGTTCAGATCTCCTTTTTCCGTCGGCAGATCGCATGTCGTGGAAGAAGCAGAAGCTTGTAGACATCCAGCAGGCGCTGAACAGTGACCCCGTGGACATCGAGACCCTGCGCAGTGCAGCTGTCAGCGAGGGAGGCTTGTTGACGGACGACGTGCGAAGAAAAGTTTGGCCCAAGCTCCTCAGTGTCAACGTGTTTGACCTTCCTGCCAAACCTGGTGAGTGTGTGTCATCCACAAGAGCCAGAAGGAGTGAACGAAAACACGTCCGACACGAGGATCTGTTTCCCTTTGTTCCATATTCCTCACCTACTGTTTCTCGTCATTTCCCTTTCTTTTAAACAGCTAAAAATATCAGAGAGAACCACAAAGACTACAACCAGGTGCTTCTCGACGTCAGACGCTCCATGCGCCGATTCCCGAGAGGTAGCGTTTCTCTGCTTTTGATCAGACGTTGTGACTCATCCCTTTTCTCTTGATCGCGTCCGACGAAGTCTTTAAGTTGTCGCGTAACCGGGACGTCTCGAAACGTCTGAGACACTTGGGAATAGCAAGCGGAGGTCGTTCTGAGGTCTGAAAACCACAAAATAATCAAAAGCGAATTCCTGTCTATATGGAACTGCATCGTTAATGTAGTAGTGCGAGCTTTCCCAGAACACGTAAGCTATTAAATAGAATTAAAAGACTTAATAATTAATATTAATTAGTCTAAGAAAATTGACTATTATATACATTCTATTCTAATAACTAATCTACATTCTAATTCTATGTATGAATCAATCAGCCATGCAAGAGGACCAAATAAAAATCTCATCATTTCATAGTTATCTAGTCTTTTTCTCTCAGAATAATCATGTAGAGATCAGTACAGCTACCACATCTGGAATGTGAGACAGGTTGTAGCTCATGTGTCTCTCTCGGTTTTGGTGTGTCAGGGATGCGGGCGGATGAGAGGGAGGTGCTGCAGGAGCAGCTGATTGACATCATCCTGGACGTTCTGAGGAGAAACCCTCAGCTGCACTACTACCAGGGCTACCATGATATAGTGGTCACCTTCCTGCTGGTGGTAGGAGAACGGATGGCCATCGCGATGGTCGAGAAGCTGTCCAATCATCACCTCAGGTTAGTGTCTTTTGCAGAGTAACCAGGTGTTGTCCTTTTTAATGTTCATTTTTTTCCCCCCTCAAAGATCGATTGTTCACATTTTTGTCCCCAGTTTGCACATGCCAATGCTCACCAGCCAGGTCTCCTGTATCACGTGACTGGGGAGGGCGGGGCAAACGCACGCTTCTTCCTGAGATACATGATTTAAAACTCCTGCTCATGTTGCGTCCCACTCCAGGGAAAGCGCAATCTGCCCTCTTCCGCACACATGAGCTTTACCGATGCCTGTGATTGGCTCGTGTCTCTATGATTGACAGGGGCGAGACGGTAATACCGTCCCTTCCACTCAGAGATCACTACCAATTTTGCCCTGGGGGGTGTGTGTGAGCCAAGCCTGAATATTTTCAAAGTGAAATACTATTACAGAACGTTTTGTATTATAAATCCATAGTTATATTAACAACGTATAATCATTTTTTTAAATAGTTGTTTTATTATTTATAAACTAATAAAAAAAAAATAGCTACGATTAGAACGTTTTCAAATTTGTCATGGAAGAACTTCCTCTAATGGGCACTTTTCTTGCACAATAAGTGCGAAAGTATTTTCTAAGTGTCAAGAATTTGTTAGCAGGTTTGGAAGTTTTCACTATAGATTATCCGTCTTTCTGCAGAGAGATGTGTTGAGCTTTCACAGAAGAGAGCGTTAGTCCGATCAACGATCTGATCATGTGAGAAAAACATACTGACAGAGTAGCACAGCAACGACTGAAGAGAACTGAGTGTGTGTGTGTGTGTGTGTATGTATGTATGTATGTATATGTGTATATATATATATATATATATATATATAAATAAAATATAATCTAACATAACGGTTTGGTGTTTTTTTTTTTTTGTTTTTTTTTCCAACGTAAGTCGCATTTTGAATGTGTTTGGAAGGAGAAATCTATTAGAAACCTGTGTATTTATTTCCATGTTAACAAATAAACCGCTATAGAAAGTGATGACAGTCGGTGTTTTTTTTTTTTTATTTAATGTTATTTCTCCGCAGAAAATCTTACTATATACCGATTTATAAGGTTAGATGGGGTTACTCAGCCACTGTGAACAGTTTCTGATGTTCTGACCCGTAAACGTCTGCGTTAACACTTTGCTGTGGCGTCGCGTGTCTGTGCAGGGACTTTATGGACCCTACCATGGACAGTACCAAACACATCCTGAATTACCTGATGCCCATTCTGGAGCTGGTCGATCCTGAGCTACACGACTTCATGCTGAGGTATGACTGCTTTGGGGTGGATGGGGTTAAGTTGGTTTATTTTAAAGCGGCAGTTCACAAACTGGGGGCCGTGTAAAAAATCTCTACTCAGAGTTTTTTTTTTATTTTTTATAGAAATAAAAAGAAATCAGATTAAATTCACATATCTCAGTGCTACGCTTAAAAAATCCCCCCCAAAAAAACTCCAGAGCGCCTTTACAATCGTACGAAATGTCACGTCCGCTTTGCTTTAAACGCTTAGAGATTAGATCTATAAACTGGGTTTCCAGTTTGTACATCATACATATTTATATCTCTTGAGTCTTAATGAGTTTTAGAGATGCACTTACTCCATAAGACGCAATAAACCGCATGTTATTCTACCAAGACCGTTTGTAATGGTTTAAGAGCACTTTAAGTCAGGAGGATAAAACAGTGGGACATGCTGCTGTAGAAAAACAATCAATGACAGGGTGGTGGGATCTCTTTCCAACTATGAAGTCGGTTATTTTCTCATACCACAACAATTTTACTGACCATGACAAATACTATTTATAATATGTGTTAAAAAAATAACACGCCCTCTTTTTTTTTCTTTTCTTTTTCTCTCTCTCTCTCTCTACATTTAAAGTTGTGGCGCGTCCACGAAACAGGTTAGTTCCCTCACCATCCTCTTCTGTTTTCTCTCTCTTCATAAAGAGAGTATGAGAGTGGGATATATTTAGATAGGCTTTTTATACAGGCCGCTCGCACGCGG